GTATAGCTGCTACGTGCCTGGTGCATCTTGCTTGGCATGATTCCCCAACTTTGGGAGATAAAGGGAGGAGAGGGCAGAGGTAGCCCAGCCACACCCCACCCTCAGAGCAGCACGGTCCAGTAGAACTTTCTGCAGTGATGGGAATGTCCTTCATCTGCACTGATCAGTACAGTAGCCACATGGATCTCCAGATCCAGCACTTGAGACGTGGCTCATGTCACTGAGGAACAGAATGTTTAATTTTACTTCATTTTAATTAGAGTATAAATGTAAATAGCCAGTTGTGGCTAGTGGCTTTTGAATTGGACAGCACAGCTCTTAATCCTTATTTTGGGGGCTGGCCCCGTGGCTTAGCGGTTAAGTGCGCGCGCTCCGCTGCTGGCGGCCCGGGGTTTGGATCCTGGGCGCGCATCGATGCACCGCTTCTCCAGCCATGCTGAGGCTGCGTCCCACATACAGCAACTAGAAGGATGTGCAACTATGACATACAACTATCTACTGGGGTTTTGGGAGGGGAAAAAAAAAGGAGGAGGATTGGCAATAGATGTTAACTCAGAGTCAGTCTTCCTCAGCAAAAAGAGGAGGATTAGCGTGGATGTTAGCTCAGGGCTGATCTTCCTCACAAAAAAAAAAAAAAAAGATGGGTATGTGTGATTGGAGACGCCATGTGATTATTAAAAAAAAAAATCCTTGTTTTGGGTCTATAAACACAATCTCTATAGAGTTTTTTTTAACTTTTAAAGTAAAGTATCATTGACATAGAGTAAAATTCACTTTTATAGCACAGTTCTGCTACTTTTGACAAATACATAGAGTCATATAATCACCACCACAATCATCACCTCCCCTCCAAAATTCCCACATGTCATTTTGTGGTCAACCTCTCCCCAGACCTCCAGCCCCTGGCAACCGCTCTGTTTCTGTCTCTATAGTTTTGCCTTTTCCAGCATGTCCTAGAAATGAAAGGAACACAGTGCATTTGGGATTCATTTGTGTTGTTCTGTGTATGCGTACTTTGTTACTGTTCATTGCTGTGTAGTATTCCATCATGTGGTTGTTTGTTTATTCATTCCCCAGTTGAGGTACATTTGGGTTCTCAGGTTTTTTCCAGTTTTCAGCAATTATGAATAAATCCACTATAAATATTCACGTACAGGTTTTTGTGTCAACACAAGTTTTCATTTCACTTGGGTAAGAATCTAGTAATGGGGATCACATGGTAAGTTAGTTGAACTTTATAAGAAACTGCCAAACTGTTTCCCAAAGTGGCAGTACTATTTTGCCTTCTGCTAGCAATGCAGAAGCACTTCGGCTACTCCACATTCTCCACAACAGTTGGTTTGTCATTTTCCTTAAGCAATTTCAATTGGTGTGTAGTGATATCCCATTGTGGTTTTAATTTGCTCCCTAAAAATTAATGACATTGAGCATCTTTTCATGTGCTCATGTGTCATCCTATATCTTCTTTGGTGAAGGATCTGTTCACATGTCTTTTTTTGTTTTTTTTTTTTTTTGATGAGGAAGATCAGCCCTGAGCTAACATCTTTGTGCATCTTCCTCTATTTTGTATATGGGGTGCTGCCACAGCATGGCTTGATGAGTGGTGTGTAGGGCTGCGCCAGGGATTCGAACCTGTGAACCCCAGGCTGCCAAAGCAGAGTGCATTAACTTAACCACTACGCAACCGGGCAGGCCCGTCTTTTTTGTTGTTAATGCATTGTTTCTCCAGATATTTCATTGCCTGTTTTTAACATGGCCTTAATTGTTACCTCCCAAGACAGTGTACTTTTCTTGTCAATAGCTTAGTGCCTTGGAGTTAGTTCTGTTCTTTTTTGTTTCTGCGACCAGCTCCAGAGGCTTCTATCAAGGTAAGGGCCTGGGTGTCGTGGGCTCCCAAAGGTTGACCAGATTCTCCCTTGCAAGCTTTTCATTTTTCCTTTTTTGAGTGAATGCTTTGAAAAACAGCTTTAGTGTGAACCTCCAGACCTGGAGAGAGTGAGAGAATTCAGTTTCTCCTGTTGTGATTCTTGAATGGCTTTTTATTGGCCCTTTGCCTGCCCTCTCTGTTGAAGCTGTCGATCTATCCAGTGGCTGCTGTTGAAGGAGAAAGGAATTGCAAAGGATTAAATGAGTGTCTAGGCTGGGCAAGGTCACCGTGAGTCACCCTGTGCACTCCTGGCATTATTATCATACAGGTTCTTGCTCCTCAGGAAAAGAATCATCTAGACCTGTCAGATTGTGCATAAGTCTTTACATTTAATGTTAAGTTAAGCCTGAGGGGCCTGGAAGCACGTATGTACCTCTTGTCATCAAACAGACTTATTAAAAAGTGAGAAGTCACCTCAGATGAACCAGAGGAAAGAACTTTGGATGTTGTACATAAATCCCTATCTCTTTTAAGAAAAATTGTGGTAAAATACACATCACACAAAATGTGCCATCTTAACCATTTTAAGTGTAGAGCTCAGTAGCGTTAAGTACATTCACATTATTGTGCAACCATCACCACCATCCATCTCTAAAACTTTTTCATCTTCCCAAACCGCAACTCTGTCCCCATTAACGACAACTCCATTCTCCGCCCCTCCCCCCTGCTCCTGGCCACCACCCTTCTACCTTCTGTCTCTGTGAACTTGAATACTCTAGGGACCTTATAGAAGTGGAATCATACAGTATTTGTCTTTTTATGACCAGCTGATTTCACTTAGCATAATGTTCTCAAGGTTCATCCCTTTGCTGCAGCATGTGTCAGAATTTCCTTCCTTTTAAGGCTGAATACTATTCCACCGGATCTCTATACAAAGTATCCATGGACCTTTGGCTTGCTTCCAGCTTTTGACTACTGTCAGTAATGCTCTATGAACATGGGTGTGCAAATATCTCTTCAAGACCATGCTTTCGATTCTTTTGGGTTTATACCTAGAAGTGGAATTGCTGGATCATATGGTCGTCCTATGTTTAATTTTTTGAGGAACCGCCATACTGTTTTCCAGAGCAGCTGCACCATTTTACATTCTCACCACCCGTGTCTATATAAGTGTCTTTGTATGAGATAAATACTGCTTGACTCCCCCAACTTCTCTCTATCTCCCTCCTTCAACCTCTCTTGCCTGGTCTACTAGCTTCCTAACTAGCCTCCCACAGTCACTGACCCCTTTCGGATTCAGGCTGCACATGACAGCCACATATTCTCTCAAATATGTGGGTCTGCCTAAAACCTCTTAGTGGTTTCCACGGCTCCTGAGATCAACCCAAATCCTTATATGACCTGACATGGCCCCCTTCCTCTTTAGCCTAATCTGGTTCAGCTGAGTGGTCACTCTTTCTTCCACCCACAGTGACTGACCGTCAACCCCTTGAAGGCACCATGCCCCTTTCCTTAGCACATGCTGTTCCTTGGCTGGAATGCCCTCCCCGGCATTCCCAGCCCCTCCCCTAATCATCCTTGGACTTCAGTTCAAGTGTCATTCTTTAGGGAAGAGATCCCTGACCCCGTTTTTACTGTCCCCTTCCCTCTGTCAAGTAGGTTGTCTTGTTATAGTTTCTCATAAAATTGCGTTACTTGCCCCTCAAACACTTATCTCTGTACCTAAATAGTCACTCATGTGATGACTGCGTTAATATCTATTGCAGCCCCAGGCTGGAGCGTGGGTAAGCAGACAAGCTTCCCACCCTAGGCGGCCACATCTGCCTACATACTCGCAGGTCACCACCACCACTGCCTCTCCGGACTTACCACAGGGGTCATTTTATATTTATTAGTGTGTGCTCTTGACTCACGTCCGCATCCCCACCAGACTGTACGCTCCACCAGGGAGGAGCTAGGTCTATTTTCTCACGATCAATCATTACTAAATGACGCAAATGTGGAAACACTGCCCCCCTTTTTCAGGGGACGTGGCTGAATTAGGAAGGCATGGCCAGGATAACTGAAGTTCTAAAGGAATCTGAATGATCCCCAAATTGGCCAATTCCATGTTTTCAGCTAAGATCTCTCTCCGGACATCTGCCTCCCCTGATTAGACTGTGAGGGGCTTAAAGAGCAGGCGGTCTGCTTTACTTTGGCCGGTGTCTAGCATGGGTCCCAGGATATTTGATCTAGCCATTTGTTGAGTGAATGGATGACTCCAAGGAACACAGGGGATCGCAAGCATCCTTACACAAACTTGATCTTCAGTTCAAGTATGGAAACCCTTAATTTTGGTGCTTAAGTATGATCCCACTTTAGGGTGGGCGGATGGAGCGACTCAGACCCAGGAGACTGCTGAGGTCATTTGTCCCTTTCTCCAGGGACCCAGGATCAAAACTTTCCAGTTAGACACTGGGCGTTCCCCACCCCCGTCGCCCCAGGAGGGAGGAAAGGACAGCAGGCGGGGGGCTAGCCCGGGGCAGGACGCGGCGGGGGAGCGCAGCCCCCACCGCCC